GCCGCCTGTCCCCTGCTGCTGCCTCTGTGTCAGAGGCAGCAGTGCAGGGGGGCAGGCGCTGCCGGTGCTCGTGCCTGCCCCTTCCTCCCATTGCTGCCTTCCACAAAGGCCTGATACAGAAGCAGCAGCATGGGGGAGGGGTCTTGTATGTAACCATGAGGGTTAACCGATGAGCCCAGGCTCATCAGTTAACCATGTATTTGGATACACATTCATATCCTTGTTACATATTGGTCTCCTCTTTCTGTGTTTTCAGGCAATCCCTTAAATCTGAGGTGGTTTCTTCTCATTCTGATTCCTACGTCATCCAGTTTAAACTGCTTTCTCTCTCTCTCTCTTTGCTCTATCTATGCCATACAGCTATGTCTCATTTGCTTCTCTTAGACCAGTCTCTAGCACAGTAACTCGATCTCCCAAGTCAGTAAGAAGCATGGTTGTCGGATCCTCCCATTAGCCATTGAATTTTCATCAGCCCTGACATTTCTATTTGCTTTTTAAATTTTTAGGTTTGGTTCTGTTTTTGAGAACCCACTTTCTGCATCCCTGTTCTTTGGGTGGTAAGTACATTTAGGAGGTTGATAGAGGCAGATTACTTTCTGTTCCCTCAGAAGTTGGTCCATACCTGTTTATTTTGAGAGAGAATCTGGACCATCCCAGTGTGTTTTGTATTTGGAGGATTTGTTTGTTAGATTATAAACTTCTTGGAGGAAGGACCATGTTTTTCTTCTATGCATGGTGCAGTTCCTAGAACAGATCTATTAGATAAGAGCCAATAATCATAACAATGTGAAATGGTCCCATTTGTCTCACTGAGTTATTAACTGTGAAACCTCATGGTGACAATTGAGGTATCAGTCCAAGTCGGCATCAGGAGTCAGATGGTCATGCCTTATTTGTGTGGAACATTTTTTAATTTACTGAACTAGCTTCAGATTGTTGTCAAAATTGCCCCCAGTAATTCACTGCTAACCATTTTGGCAGAAATATCCAATTAACAGGATTATACTTTGTGGTTAGAAATGGGAGAGAAACTTATGGTTCCTAGCTTTCCCCCAGCTTCAGTATTTCTCTGGAAAAAGATGAATTCTGATACAGATAGAAAAGTAGACTCTTGTTTTAAAGATACGGAACCTATTGGGCAGTTTAGTGGCCAGTGGTCAAGGAAGCGAGGCAGAGGGCGGTGATTTATTGTGAAGTGAATTCTACATGTTTGAAAATATTCCATGAGAACATACATTTACTTATTTGCTGTAGATTTGTGAAACTGAGATACATCTTTATCATACTGTGCACATCCCTAAAACATAATCTCTGCAGTCATTGTAACAAAAAAATCCAGCAACATCTCCACAAAATATAGTTTGCATATCTGTCTGCCTCCTGTTGCCAAAATTGTTTTTAGAGCTGCAAGATTCTGCGTCCTTTTTGTGGGGATGATGTTTGTATTGAAACTCAGAAATCGGGAGCAAGAATTCTTCTACAGAGGGTGAAACATTGAAAATAATATTGTTGGTTCATCAAGTAAACAGTACCTTTCCAGACTCCAAGCATTTTCCTAGACCCAAAGCTACTATAGAGTAATGTAAGCCACTGCAGTCTTAAATATGGTGACCAACTTGAGGGGAAATTTTTTCTAAATGGTGTGTCTGCTAACAGGCCCTGCTTTAGCAGAATTTATGTATATACCTGTAACTATTTGAGTAACCCCACCTATTTGAGTGTACTACTCACATGTGTAAGTGCACCCAGATAACAATAGACAGAAATAATCAATACAATGAATAATACAGACATGGTAAACTGGAACAATTTTTTCTTGAATCCTGACTACACGTTAAACATTAATAAACATAATATTAAGTTCTTAAGTGGTACTATGAACACAAAAAAGTATGTTATAAACAAATTTATTATCTTAGATTATTATTACTGGATTTTTTTTATATTAACTTTGTCACTGTTTATACTGTTTGTTTGTTCTGCAGTTCTTTGCAGAACATAGATATTGGTTTATAGGCCCATTTAGTCTGGTATCTGAGAGTGGCCAGAACTTGATCTTCACAGATAGTTTGTGCAGCAAACTACGCAGTGCACAATTATGGAATAATTTGCCAAGAGGAAAGATTCTTCCTAATTCCAGAGAGTGAATGGTTGTTGTCTTTCCCCTTAATTAAACGTTAAAGTTTATATCCCATGTGTTAATTATTATCCTATTTTATGTAAATGAAGATGTTCTCACTTTTCTCATTTCCAGTCCTTTTTCAAATCCTCCTAAATTCTTGGCTTCAATGATTTTCAGTGGTCAGCAGTCAGTTAAATATGTATCTCTGTAAAGTATGTATGTGTGTGCATTAGTTTTAAATTAATTTCTTTTCAGTTTTATTGAATAACCTGTTACATAAGAGGCTAAATAGGAATACCCAGTTTCCTTGTCTGCACTATTCATTGTATTGATTATTTCTGTCATGTCTCATCTCTAAAGTAAACAGTACCAGTCTTTTCAACCTCCCTCTGTAGGAAGTCTCAAATCCAGTTGCCTGTCTCTGGATCCTTTGGATTTGGCTCCACAGCACCCGAAACTCAAAATAAGATACACAACTTGCACAATGCAAATTGCATAGCTCATTTTGTGTCTTTCGAAATAGCTTATTTTGTCTTTTGGTGCTGTCTATACAGCGCTAAATTTCAAAATACAGCGTTATTTTGAGCCATCCCTTACTCCTTGTACAGGGATGACAGAATAGTGCGTCTGGTAGATTTCAAAATCACAAACACATTCAAAAGACACGGGCTAGCTATTTTGGGATACCTCTAGTATCCTGAAATAATTTTGCTGTGTAGACATACCCTTTCTGTTTCTTTTTTTTTTTTTGAAATACAGTGATCCAAAATGAACACAGTATTTTAACTGAGAGTGTACTACTGACGTGTATAATTGCTTTATACTGTTCTTGTCCACTCATGTTCATGGAGCAGAGGTTTGCCTGGATCTGTTCCAGCTGATTTTCTCTTTTCCTGAGAGTTTCAAGAACTTACTAATGTCTATTACACAAGTTCAGATTCCTCTTCTATTGAAAGCATTCTGATTCACCTGGTTATGCATCTAAACTTCTTGCGTTCGTATATCGAAATTAATAATTTATTTTGTGCTTTTTACATTTGTGTTTAACGTCTTATTCTGAGAAATTTTTCCAGAAATTTTCTGTGATTTCCGAAGTTCCACACTTAACTTTTATCCTGTCCTTCACCTGATACAGAGAGAGAGGTTTAAATTATTAGCGTTCTAAGCAAATGTCTTTGTTCGGCGTGCCTCACTGCATGCATTGTATTTCCACTAGTGCCTACTTAATAATCCCTCCAGAAATTGATAACTTATTATGCTAGCAGTCTTATCTACTTTGGTTAATTGTATTTTATTTTCAGGTGCTCAGTGTAGCAAAGTCTAGGTTTCATGCTTCTAGAAGAATATGTAAGCAGAGGTTTTCATTGAAGTTAAGAAAAAAATTCTTCCGGTCTTCAATTTTATAAAAGTTTGAATTTTGTTTTTTTACAAAATTTAAATTTGGGGCAAATTTAAGTCTTTTAGTAACTTTACATGAATTTCTCTGATATGTGGTATCTTTAGCAGGAATTTTTTGTTTATTTCATAGAATCATAGAAACGTAGGACTGGAAGGGGCCTTGAATGGTCATGTAGTCCAGTCCCCTGCACTCAAAACTGAACTATGTAATAACATTTGTTTGTTTTTACTCTTCAGGCAAAAAATTCCCTGCGTACTACAACCTGGTACAACTTTTTTTTTTATGCCAGCAGAGTTTTCAGTTTTTGAGAGAAAAGTAATTGTTTTTCCAAAACTGAACCCTTTATCAAAATCTTTAGGACATTTACTAGCATTGTTGACTTTGGTAATAGCTTATATATAGGAGCACCATCTAAATAAACCTTATTTTTCTATGTTTTCCAAGAGAATTAACTTCCAAAGACAATACCAGAATTTGGACTCCTCTACTGTATCTGAATGCGATATTGGTTTGTACTTATTTTTTGATATGGCGGGATCAGCCATTTGCTACCACCTATGTTGCTTCAGGTTAAGAGGGTAGGAGAAAGCAGTGTGTCATGGTTACCTAGCAATAGGCCAGTTCCAGACCACTTTTCTTCACTGTGAAATTGGTATCAACATGGCCTGCCCTCCTAAAATTGTGTCCCTGTTTCTGTTCAGTAGTGTGTTTTGGATGCCTTTGGGTTTTAGGTAAACCCCAGAATAATTTTGCATTAGCTGGAGCAGCATGTCCTTTGAAGTCCTGCTACAGCTGGTGGGGAAGAATCCTGAAACATATTTAAGAAATAAAAGTGCTTGCTGTCTGTGAATGAGCAGAAATGAGTACATCCTGTTGAAGAAATGAGAAGCAAAGTGGTTGAGAGAGAAGAGGTCTTAACTAGATGAGTGAAACTAAAACCAAGTTGATAAAATGCATGTGATAAGAGTATGAAAAGTTGCACTACATTTGAGAAATAATAGTGTGTATTAAGACAATCCTGACATGAGCTGCTCTTTATAAAGAAATTCTGCTTAAATTTCTGTGGGACCTGACTTTTTACTTTTAATTATTTCTGCATTCTTGTATATTATAAGGTTAAATACTAATAGTATTTTTTTATTTTTTTTTCAGTTTTATAGATCTGGAGTATTTCTCTTCATTAAAAATTTAAGCTTACTAAGCCAATGAATGATTACCAATTTATGACTGCAAAAAAAGTATTGCACTTTATCCCCACACAATTTATATTCATCTTAAAATTCAGTTTATACATTTTTAACAAGCAATGGTCAGATTAATATTTTTGGAAAATCTGTTTTTCATTTCAATTTACTACTTTCAAATGCAAAATAAATTTTTTATCATATCACGTCTATTTTACAATAAATACATCTATATCAAGAACACATTATTTTACAGTTTGTTTTTTAAAAATAAATAAGCTGCATTTCTTCCTAGACTGTGGACATCTCTACAGCAATGAATGAACGAACAATGGCTCAGAAGAGGCTTACAGAAAATACATTTGACTTAGAGGCCATGTGCTTGTTAAATCGTGCCCAGGAACAGGTGAGTTGTGCTCTGTTTTTCTTCATCAGTTTTAAGTCAGTGAAAAATGATGTTAAGTTATTTAAAAAAAAAAAAAAAAATCAGGCCACTTTCTTTATAAAGACCCAAATATGAATTTTAAAACTTGTCTTTAGGTGTTTAGATTTGAAATGTTTAAAATTTTTATCACTGAATATTTATTGTTGGTGATGCATAAGTCAGAAGGAAGCCAACTTGATTTTCAGATTGCAGTGCTAGAAGTTAAAAGGTGTTGATAATTTTATTTTTAAACAAGTACCCAGAACAGTTGTGATAAGCACAGTATACAAAATTAGGTTAATGTGGGAATCATTGAGAAAATTCCATTTTAAAATAATATTTCATAGTAAAAAAAAGTACGTACAGTATGCCATAGCCCTAAATACATAAGGCATACGATTGTTTCCCTGATTTTAACTTCCCACTTTTTAAAGAGGGAAAGTAAATATTCTGTTTCATAACACAAATTGTATGGATCTTTACATTTGAACTGAGAGGTGGCAAATGTTTAACTTGTTTTTATGTTGATTTATTTTGCAGATTGATGCCTGGGCACAGTCAAACTCTCTGCCGGGCCAATTCACCGGAAGTACTGGAGCACAGATTTTGTCCTCGGATGAGTTGTCCAACAGTGGTCCCCAAGCCTGGATTAGAAAGGTAGATGATATGCAGACAGATATGTCCAAATATTACATGATAAATAACATTGAAAGAATTGAAATATATGAAAAATGGCTCACTATAGCTGATGACAATCTACTACAATGTACTTGGAAAATATGCTGTACCTTTAACTGAATTAATTTACTATATGTGTTCAACCTAAGCATAATAACAATGCAAATCTATCTGGCTATGCATTAAGGTGTTCATCTGAATGGATTTTCTGATACCTAGAGAGTTTGACAGGTGCATTATGGAAATATTAAAATATGTGAAACTATTTGAAATAGATTTTGTTGCTGTTGAGCTTAAATTACATCCATAATCTTGGATATGGTTGCAGTGGTAGTGCCACAATTAAGCTAATCCATTTGGAAAGTATTGGCCAGAGGCTGATCCTGATCTAATTGAATTCAGTTCCATTGACTTCAGTGGAAGCAGGATCAGCACTTTTGTCCCAGGACGAATCATTCTATTTGGATGAATTCCATCTATTTGCTTTCTTGCCTGTTTGCACTATTTAACACCATTCTGCAATATTAAAATAGGGGGTTGGAACTGGTTTATGGATCTAGTATCAAGTGCCTAGATATTTATAAGAGAAAAAACAGTCGATCATCTGAGCTGTGTGTGTCATACATTCTTACATTTCTGTAAATTTGTTAATAATATTTCATACTTTGTCTTTGGAAATTAATGTTGAATGAGTTCTATTTCAGATAATAAAAGCGGGAATCTCTGAGATTTCCATTTTTATAGGCAAATAACCATGAGTAACAGCACTCACTTTGGCAAAGGTTGTAACAGTTGAGTTTGTTACAAGACTGATTTTGTTCATTTTCTATAATCCACAAAAAAGTAATGGGATTCTCAAGCCTAGCAAATTAGGTTTGAAGTTTAGGCAGAAATTTGACATGAACTGGACAAGAGGTTCTTGAATTATGCCACTCTAAAAATAGAAGTATTCACTAACATTCAAAACTCTTATCTCACGCCTACCAAACACACGCACTTTGTAACAAGACAATAGAAAAGAGATACTTGTTAGATGGAAAATGCTTCAGACTCTGTTCCAGTTATTAAAATTAGAGTCTTTACCATTTTTCTGGCAGAGAGAAATTTCAAAATGAAAACAACTCCGGAGAGATGCTTATCAGTGAGAAGAGAACTTTTTTCACTAAAGGCTTGTGAAAGAGGCCAATAAGCTTTCCTTAGGCTCTCTGGGATTTTCTCTCCCTGCATATATCAGGAGATTCCCAGGAGAAGGCAGAGGAATGCCCTTTGACCTCCTTTTTCTTAAGCCCCTTGTTTTCATCCATCTCTTTTTCTTTGACATTCTTTGACGGTCTTCTGTGGCTTACAGTGGAGGATGTCTTTTAACAAAATACGTGGAGTGGAGAAAGCAGGTTTTTTTTCCCCTTTGCCTTTTTCTCATGTGCTCCTGAGCTGCTTCTGAGTGTGTCATCTCTTTCAAAAGATATTGATATGTCTGTGGGGAGATGCATGCAGAGAACTGGCTTGAGAACACAGGTGCTGTCAGGAAAAGAAAGCTTCAGACGGGAATGCGGTGTTCAGCAATTCAGCAAATGTAGGAGGAGCAGATAGGGAGAAGCACTAGCACTTCTAGCTTTTCTCTAGCCAATGGACGTCCTATTGTTTGCAGCAGCAGAACTCTTCTCTGGCAGGCCATAGGAGAATCCATTGGGTGGAGAAGTCAAGAAGGCACTCGTGCTTCCCCCATACTTTCTCCTGCATCATTGAACTGTTCCTCAGATTGACTTCTTTGCTCATTTCAGCTTTCCCATTCCCCATGGATGGCCATCACAATTCTGGGGTTAACAGGTGACCAATTACAAACCCAGTCTAGAGGACTTTGGGGGCCCATACAAGTCTCTAAATGCTTGCAGTCTCACAAAGCTTACTTAGAGGGTCGATGAACTTTATGGGATGAAAAAATATCTCCCAAAAGGCAAAGCAGGCACAGTGGTTTTTGAGCTCATACTATCTTTCAAGAACACTAGTTTACCATACAAAGAAAACCAAACAAACCAGAACTAGCTCATAAATGCAGCATTCTGTTTGCATTTCTCGGCAAGGCATCTGAACTATCTTAATTCTGCTCTTGTAGCGATGCCCTAAGAACTCAAACTCATGCTCTGTTCTCCATCATACTGAAATGTTACATTTCTGTTATTGACCACAAAAAGTAGTCTTATTCTCACCCATGTAGTGATACGGCTGCTTTGTCTGTCGTTACTAAAGGCCCTGCTCTTCAGGGAGCTGGAGACATGCATTGTTTTGCAGAATCAAGCACCATTATTTTGCATATCAGCCCATTACCAGGGTGTCAGTAAAAACCGAGTTAGTGTGTTTTCCATGTTACAAACATCAGACTTATTATGACAGGTATGTGTGAAACAGATTACAAAGCCCATGTTGTATTGTGTACATTTTTGATCCTCTGAATGCAAAAAAGATAATAGGCTGGCATATATATGAGGCAAGCTAAGTTAGTTGGGGTTGCTTGTTTGAGAAATGCAACCTTAACTCTGCATATCTTGGATTTGGTTTTCAAAACATCTAACTAGTTTTTTTGGGGAAAGTTGTGTGTGGTCAACCACTATGTACCTGCAACCTTAACGTTGCCTTAACAAAGTTTTGTGTGGCATATAAGTTCATTTACTTAAAATGGTTAATATGGCAGATTAAGCTACTGTGGCATTCCAACTAGCAATGGTTTGTTTTGTTGCTTTTTTAGCTGTGTGACTGATTCATAATGTTTGGGTTGTTGAACAATATTCCCTTTTTCTGAAAAGTGGTTTTCTGTTTATCATCAGTGGTGTAATCAGTTCACAATTGTGGAAATTATTAATCTTGTTCATATAGTATACATAGAATAAACTCTCTCTGGTGACTTCTTGATGATGACTTGCAAGAAAAGAAAACAATACAATACAATGTTGTTGTACAAAATGCCATTTGAGGGGAGGTAGGTGTAAAATATTTTGGCCAAGCAAGTTCTTTTGAGGTTTACACTTGTTTAGACTTTCCCAAAACCATCTGTTGCTTTTAGATCAATAAACTCTATCGTATTTATTATACAATAAATACATTGTTTCCAAAACTAGGAGCATTTTAGGTTGGTGCTTTAACTAGGTTCTTTTTTATAACACATTGCACAGTGTTAACGCTTTTTTGTTGATTTGAGCTATCACTATAAAACAAGACATTTTCAGGGCTGTTATAAAGCTATATTTAGGGCTAGATATTTTGAAGATGTAAAATTTTTGCTAACATGTTATCTTCTGCTAGCCACACATGACTAGAGCTTCCTCCACCAGTAGATAAAGACAAGAAAAAACAAAACTCTTTTGATATCACTTTCTCTTGAATGAAGTATTGTCTGGCCATCTCTGATCTTACAAGAACTGGAGGCAGCCTTTCACGTTGTCCATGTTCCCATCACCTTCAGGCTTGTCTGCTGAGTGTGCTATGCGTGGGGATGAAAGTAATTGACCAAGAAATGGCAGTGTGGCCTATGCTACGTGGGCTCCCTGTCCAGTATTGAATCCATTTCAAATCCTTGGATTTAATTTTCAAAGTCCTCAGAAATGACTCCTTTCTCTTTGGCCCAGCACAACTACTGTGATCAGCAGAAATCTTGGAGGTGACAACGCTCAGTTTTTAGGAGGAAGGGGATAAGGCTTCTTCTGTGGTGGGCTTTTTGCATGGAGCATTTTCTCAGCATGAATCAATGTAATCAGTACAGTCACGGTGGAATGGATGACCGGTATCTTTGCAGAATCTTCCCAGGATAACAGCCCTAAGGATAGCATCGCTTCCAGAAGATACAATCAAAAATATTCTGAACATTTTATATTCTATACTAACCAAAATCAAAACAAAAAGCTCACCAAAAAAATAAGCACTCATTATTGCCATTGTGCATACTGGGGTAGCGAAAAGTCCTTCAAACTGACAGATGTCTTTTTGGATGAAAGGGACCATAGAAGCCTTTTACTCCAGTGCCCAGGATTCATTGGCCCTGGGAGCAGGTATTAACACTAACTTATAGGAGTTTGTTGATGTGTTGTATCGTTTCCCTAATTATTTCACCATAGGCAGGCCTTCAGAACATGGCCACCTTCCAGGAGAAGATCAACTTGGAATTTCTGGACTGGCTCAGGAAATGGTAGCTTATTGGATCTCCTTTGCGATCACCCACTAGGTCTCAGTGTGTGTACAGTTAAACATGGAGAATCCCGGGTTCTTGAGTCAACTTTTATGAAGAGGGATTTATCTGAACTGCTTGTTTAGGGTCCAACAGTAGATTAAGGAATATTTCAAACTTGATGAAAGGCCAAGAAAGTTTAAGTTAATTTATTAATGAAATTTCTTTCTATTTTTAAAAGACCTAGAATGTTGGCTTTTGGGAACCATGCCGCTATAATACTAAAAGGCAAAGTTAGAGTATTCATCTGCGAAGCTCTATTGAAAGTATTGTTTTTAGGACAATTGACAAGCTGAAGCTAAGCTTTTCTTCTCTATCACCATAAAATCTGCATTCAGGGCCAAACACCTTCTCACATGCTCCTTTTCAAACCATTAAAGGGGGTGAACGTGTCTCTTCAGTTGCCTTTTTTTAAATCAGGAGACCATTAGAGATGTAGGTCCCTTCATATAGGGAACCCTACCAAAATTTTTACCAGGTGGTCATTAAGCTTAGTTTCCTTCCAAATCAATTTCTCCCATCCACACAGCTGTTCCTTCTTGCTGACTGACACTTTCTGGGAAGAAGGCTTTGTGCATTTTGGGTATAATGGTTAGAAAGTCAGATTACTTGTGGTGGAAGTGGTGTTGAGATTCCCAGTCATACAAGGTTTAGCAACTTGCAAGCCTCATTTTTGTGTGTGAAGAACCATTGACTCAAGATAAAGCAGCTGTTTTCTATAATGACTTATTCCTTCAACATCACGTCTACCTCACTGACAGAGGAGGAGGAGATACTTCTCAAGAACTGTGTAGAGAGCAACCAGTTAAGCATATTTACATGCCATCTCATATCATTCTGGACTTGATGTTTCAGGCTTTGCTGCTGCCATCTTTGGTAGTCAGGTCTTGCTCACCAGTCTCTTACTTTTGTTTTTGGGGTGGGGGGGGGAAGTTACTCACCTTTTCTCATGTTACTCATGTTCCCATGTGTCTGGGCTGTGTCAGCATTTCAGAAAGCTGTAAAATTGTAATTTTTTACTTGTTGATTTGGTTTCTAAGCCCTCCTTTGCCAACCCAGGCATCCCACACCTGTTCTTATTTGTTATTAGAGTTGTAACTGTTCTGAAGTTACTTTCCTAATGTAGTTTTAAGGATTGGTAGTTTTCCAAATTATTTGAGTGGGATCTGCTGGCCAGTCTCCTTTATAGGAGAAATGGTGTCACAAAGAACATTGCTCTTTGTCCCATCTGCTGGAAAGGAGGAGTATACACTGGTCTGGTCTGACATAGGTGGGCTTGGAGATTAACAGATGAGAAGTTGTCATTAAATTATCATAGTGATGAGCAGTTTTTCTTGTAATACAGTTTGTGAATAGAGATTGGTTAAATATTTATTTAAAACCTATTATGAAACTCATTTGACAAGGTAATGAAAAGAATTAGAAACTTAGGATTTACTGTACCTGATGTTATTTTGGACTGTCTAGTCTGGTATTCTGACTCTCTAATTTAAAATAAAAAGGAATTTTAATATTTCACATGTCCTGCATTACTTGATTTTTTTAAACATTTTGAAAGTTCTTTACAAACATGGAGTTCTTACAAAACACGCCTGCCAGTTAATCTAGTCGGTGAGTTAGTGTTATCTCTATTTGGAGATAAGGAAACAAGAGAGCTCATGTGTATTTTCTATCATTACACTGCAAATTGGCAGCAGAGTTTTCTAGACCATGCTGTTTTCTCTTTGTTCCATTAAGTTATCTAATTAAAAGCATTAACATTTTATAAATGTCCTTTTTCACATTCACTTTAAAGTGCAATTTCACTCTGAATGTAACTGTACAAATGATATTGTGTGGCTTCATTTTTTTTATAATTTGTTTCCTTATCCTCCATTTGCAAGGAAAAAGGTTTGTTTTTCCTCTTAATTGCAATATTTATTCTCTCAATTATTCTCTAATAGTGCTGTGTGAGAAACAAACTTTCTGCAGCCTGCAAAAGGGTTGTGCAAGTGTAACTGTTTGCAGTGTAGTAAATGGTTTTGTTAAATGAAGCACAAGAAGAATTAGAATCCAGTTCTCTCTCTTAGCCACATTTGGCTCTGTTATGCTAACTATCATGAAAACCAATAAAAACATGATCTGATGCTAAAATCAGTAAATATAAATACATACAATATATGAATATGCAAGGAATAAGGGGATGCTGTGTTCAGTCACTTTGAAGTAGAATTGCACTTTAAAAGTTTATAGAAAGTTGTTAGATTTTTTTCTGGCTTTGAGATTTGTTCAGGCTTTCAAATTTCCTGTCGAAAGTTAATACTTTACATTTTAAGCCACAAAATGGGTATGTTATGAGGGGTTTTTTCCCCAAAATTAGTTTGAAAATGTAATGGGAAAGTTCTGTAACATGAAAGTGACCTCATCAAGAACTTGCTTCCACTCTGGTTTGTGAACTGAATACACGTTGGTGATAATGAAACAGATGTTGATGTTGAAAATTCTATCATTGCAAAGCAGGTACAAAAGAGGAATCGGAACCCTGGGTGACATTGACTGGGGTTTGTATCATACTCTGCATGGTTGACCTTTTCTTATGAGAGGTTCCTGGAAAAGACAGGGGAGGATGAAACTGGAAGTAAGTAAAAGCCATTCTAGGTGCATAGAGTGAGGCAGTTGGTATCAAACTTCAGCTAATTTGTCTCTGCGTACATGTAAAATGCATGGCCGGCACCGATCAAAAGTTGAACTAGAGAGGTAAACTTAGCCTCCGTCTATTCTTCCTTCCATCTGAGCACCGTGTTGTTAAAGTCAACCTCCAGTTGCATGATTTCTAGATATTTGTTTTTTGTTTATTAGGTAAATATTTGGAAAACCATTCCTATTACACATGGATATTCAGGAATTTTTTATACAACTTAACAGAAAATGTGGGAGGTTTATGATGCATATGTCCTTGGTATGTGCCATAATTGCCTGTGTTGAGGGGCTAATCATTTTTTATTTAAAATATATATATTCTAAGTCTCCTGGAATAGGAAGAGTTCTAATTCTGCTTATATAAATAAGATGAAACCAAGGAAATATCTGTCTTCGTCTCTTCAAATCTGGGAAATATTTTGTACGTCAAACACAGTAATAAAAATAATAAAGGAAAAAGTGTTCTGTGAATTTATCACTGTTTGGAAACATAGCTAAAGTTGCTACAAAAAATACCAGGCATTGTATCTCTTACCTATGTGTGACAGTAACTGACTGCATTGTCAATACCATGTGTAAACGTTTACATTAAGTCAAGAGTTTGCTGCTGTGATGGAAATGACTGACTTACTTGGGTCAGTGGGTGGGACAGAAGAGAGACGATAGTTCACAGAATAACCTGTGAACTTTCACCCCTCTATATGGAAACTTGTTTCAGGGTCAAATCCTTGTAGCTGCCTTCTTGCCACGGTCAATGCCAGCCCTACTATTCACAACACTGCGGCCATCGAGGCCTAGGTACGTAAAAATTTAAGGAGTTTTTAAAGTTCTTTACAAGAAAACAGATTTTTAAAAGTTCTGTTTGATAAAATCATCTTACAACACTTAACCTCTATTATGTAATGATGCATTGAGACAATATTACAAATACTGCTGCTAAACTGTGTGGCAAAGTACCCTTTTTTTCTTTTTTGTTCATTTGTTTTAAAAAATGGCCTGTATCTGTTCTATGTGGATTTTCAGAGTAAAGTGTGTGCCTGCAACTGCTGCGTAATAAAGTCGGAAAGCATTACTCATATTTAAAATATTCCTAAACAGTATTCAAATGTCATTACTATGTTTGCTTGTATTTTTTGTTCAATAACTAGGTACACTTGGCATAAATGTTGCTAGTTAATAATTAACACTGCCTCCTTTCACAAGATAAGAAGAGATACATTGGAACCAAAGTAGTGTGTTGTAAAATAAATGGTTATTTTATTAAATACATGTGTTTGAAATGAGTGAATGTTTAAAATTGCCAATTTTGACTTAAACAATTGCATTAAAATTTTCTTAAGCTGTTTCTAATTTGATATTTTGAACAAATTGTTTAACTTGTATGTTGTGAACTCTGATTTATACAAGACATGTAAATGTATTCACAGATAAGGTGTATTCACTTGAATTGATTTATGAAACATTGTTAGAAACATTTTTGGATGCTCCCAATTATTTTTTTTAATTGTGTGCTAACTTTAGGACTTGTTTTACTTTTCTTTCTTTGGATAGGATCAGTTCTTAAGAGCAGCCCCTGTAACTGGAGGAATGGGAGCCCAACTGATGAGAAAAATGGGCTGGAGAGAAGGAGAGGGATTAGGAAAAAACAAAGAAGGGACCGTGGAGCCTATTCTAGTGGATTTTAAGACTGATCGAAAAGGTAAGTGCTTTCCTTGAACCTTTTTACTACACCATAAAATTGATAATAGTTTTATTTCTATTATAGAAAAGAACAGAACAATCTTAGTATATAGAAATTATTTCACTGTAATATGTTTATTACTATAAAATCACAATACAAATAATTATTTAGATACTGGCCCCTTACGCTTTGGTCTATGTACATTTAAGCATGAGCTTAACTTTAAAGTCATAAATACTCTTGTATAAGTCAGTGGGGCTCCTCTTCCATTCAGAGTTACATATGCAGATGCATGTTTGCAGGATCAGGACCCTACTATGGCTTAAATGAGCTGCCCAGATTAGAGAGCCAGGTATTTTGTGTGTGTGTGTGTGTGTGTGTGTGTGTGTGTGTGTGTGTGTGTGTGTATATAAATGCAAACTCACCAGCAGTTTTATTTTAATTTGCAATACATGACATAGATGATATTTAATCTTAAAGACATTTAGAGCAGAATTTTTATTCAGTCATATTTTTATTCAGAAAAGAAACAGTACATAAACTTAAATGCTTAGGTCTGATTTTCATAGATGTTAAGTCAATAACACTGCAGATGGTAAAAAATATATAGTGAATAGTGGAATACTCTCACAGAACCAATCAAGACTGAAAATAAAGTGTTATAGGCAAGAATAGTAAAAATTGTGTGGTCAGAAAATGGAGAGCCATGGAGTCTTATTCTTTCAGCTTTAAAGTATAAAAATGAGATCCTGTCTAAGGTTCTAGGTCCTTTAGCTGTCTGCGCAATGGCTTTATAACTGAGCAATGAAACAGTCCAAAAGCAAAGAACAGGAAACCATAAGAATAAATATTAGTTTTACACACAAAGTGGCCAAACATGCTTTACAACGCTTCACTCCTCTCAGACATCTTGCCAGATTTGAAGATAGAGTTTGAATTAATTGACAGATATTTCAGAAAGAAAGTTTTCTGTGGAATGCCTTCAACTTGTTGAGCTGCAGCATGGACTTTTCAGTAGCTCTGTTCTGTAAAGCTCTCATTCCTTGAGTTTTACCTGGGTAATGTCACTGGCATCAGGGAAGGACTATATACAGCCACTCTCCGAGTTACGAACCAACACTTGGTCCGTAACTCGAACTGTTCGTAACTTGGATCCCATAGAGTTACATGGTCCTAAGCGGAGGTGGCCGTAAGTTGGGGAGCGGCTGTAGATCTATAAACTAAACAAATTCCTTCAAAGTCATTTCTCTTTTTCTGAGTGGCCTGTAGAATGGGTTATCTTAACAGCTTTAGAACCATAATTGGAAGTACTAACTTTATTCAGTGTGTGGGGACTTCTGTGTGGTATCTGATAACATTTAGAATTTGGCATTCAGTTCCAATGATTATTTATATTGTACTAAAGCCTGAACACCTGAACCAGGATTAGGGCCTTGTCATGCTGGGTGCTGTACAAACAAATAGGCAGAG